ACTATTGCCTTGCTTTTGGACTGATCTCTTCAACTATGCAGTGATTCCTGCTATGCTTCAACACAAATTAACATCAGTGTGTGAGTCTTTTGACAGCATTTCATAACTCATTTTAGATTTGAGAACTGTTACAGAAAGCAATGTCCTCACCAACCCCCACAAGAATCAGTTTCAGGGAATAAGGTTTGGTTTGTGTGATGTATAAAACCTCTCTCACAATGGATGTTGACTTGCTCATGTGCTGTGGGGAATTCGTCAGACAAGTAAAATAATCATAAACCAAGGTCTTCAAGTTGAACCACTCATGACCATTAGAAATGCCCAAAATACCAAAATTCCTCTCTGTGGAACATTTTACATGCCCAAACATCTTGTGTAATACTCAATACTTAAGCTTTTAATTTATCAAAACTAAGAAATTCTCTGCTAATTCTTTAACCACCACATTTAACCACCTCATTAGACAGAGTATTTTCATAACACTGCTCTTGAATTATATGGCAGGTGTTTGAGTGCGTGATGCAGTGGTTGAAGCATGACCTTCCGAACCGGGAGACCAATACGGTGAGGCTCATCGAGCACGTCCGCCTCCCTCTCATGTCCAAGGAATTTGTTGTAAGTTTTGTCTTTCTTTTCCCACTTTTTTGTATAAGCTTCTACCCCTTGTCTAGCCAAGAATGATGAGGTTAACTGCTGATTGAAACATCCTTTATCAAAATAATTCCTTGCTCGGATTTTGGATCTTCCCAAGGTTGGCCTCCATCTGTGAAAAGGGAAATATGTAGCTACAAGACTTTCTGAAAAACTTTGATTTCTAGTTGTGACAGGTATGGTAAATTCCACTCACTTTCTTGGACTCTTTGGTATGAACTGGGTTCCCAATGCAGTTTCATTACCGGTCTTGTATAGAAAGGGAGGTCAGTCATGGGAGGAAAATTCAAAGAAGTGATGTCTCTTGAAACATAATGTTAGGATTATGAGCCATCCTCATGGCCAAGAGAAACATTGCATATAGTTTCCTCCAAAGAAATTCTGTAGAGTCCATTAACCTCATTCCTTCTGATTGCTGGTGATGGTTTTTTCTTGAAAATTTCAATTGATATGCTTTATGAAATCATTAGTTGATCGTGTTTTTGCTCGACTCTGAATGCGATTACAGGTGCATCGAGTGGAGTCAGAGCCGCTCATGAGGACACATTCATCATGCAAGGACTTTCTCATTGAAGCCCTCAAGTATCATCACCTAGAGGGAGAGGAAAGACACAGCTACAAGTTTGTCCTTGTCTACATTCCATATGAATACATTCTGCCATTCTTAGTTTATTATTATTAGCGAAATCGGCTTCAGCTTGCTTTTTTTAAATATCACAGTCAACTATTTATTATGTGCTGGGCATATTTTGCATGTC